GCCGAAAGGCATCACAGTGAACTCGTAACTGCCGTAGCGGGTTCGAAAGGCAGTCTTGTGACAGTCGTCAGCGAAGACCCTGATCTGGTGGTAACCGCCGCGTAGGTCAATCTTCGAGAAGTAGCGAGCGCCGCGAAGTTGGTCGAGGAGGTCGTCGGTGCGTGGGATGGGATAGCGAGACTTGATGGTAACCCGGTTGAGCGCGCGATAGTCGATGCACATGCGAATGCCGCCGTCCACAGTCAGACGCCACAGTGTACGAACAGTCGGTTGCGCGCCGGGCTCGAGGGTGATTCTGTGGTCTTCGGGTCGTTCTGGTGGCAGTCCAGGTGGCAGGTCGTCCGGGATAATGTCGGGGTATTAACGAATCAGCTCCGCTAAATCAGGTGGTACAGCTGCGCACAGCTTCTGGATGTCATTTCCGTCGGTGTCGGCTGCCAACTCGCGCAAGCATACGGCGAACAGTTGCGCACCCCTGTTGACGTGGCGTGTAATCGTGATGGCTTTGACGCATGTAGACTCGATGCAGTCCGGAGTCCACGCGGGCAGAGTAATCAACCCCCCGTTCTTGCTGATGCTGCACGATCTCATCGTCCAATCGATTATCGAATTGTGCCGTCGCCAATCACACCCCAGGAGCACATCACATCCGTCCAACGTCGTCGCGAGAAACTTCATGCTGAAGCCGAAATCGTCGCCGCACTCAATCCGCACCGTCCGCGTCTCCTCCATAATCGCCAGCGGCGTCCCATCCACGAGGCGAGCGTCAATTTCGGGCAGACACCTGTCCAGCTGCAACTTGCATTTTTTTGTTGTCATCAGATTGAAGAGGCTATGGCTAGCCCCGCCATCGACGAACATTTTTATTTTTTTCTTAACAACCGTGCCAACAACCAGCACAGGGTGATCCACATGTTCACCCCCGTTATTCGTCCGAGTGCGATCGATTGCATGAATCGGAACCACGACTCGGTGGGGATGGTGGGGTTCGGGCGACAGAGCACAGTCAGTAAGGGGCCCGTCTGTTACTGACTCTTCCCATTTCCCGGCTCCTTCCCGTCGTTCCTCTTTCCCTGCGTCCTGTCGGGGCAGTCTTTATACATGTGGCCCGGCTTCCCGCACTTAAAACACAACCCTGTAAAAGGGCGGTCTGGCGCATGGACTCCGTTAATCGTGGCCCGCTGGGTCTGTCCACGAAATCGGTTTCCCTCCCGAGAACTCGATCTCGCCCACTGCATCAGCGCGTCTGTGCTCTCGGCCAATCGGACGGCTTCGTTGAATGTTGTCGGGCGGTTTCGGCGCACCTCGAACTGTATCTCGTACTTGAGGCCGCTGATGTATTTATCCAACCGCTCCGCCTCCGCCATGTCGTCCACTTGGTCCGCGAGCGCCATAAACGACGCCGTGTAGTCTTGAACAGAAGCCAACTGCGACCAGGTACGCAGCTTCATGCGAGCGTGTTCCGAGGCGGATACATGCTCGAAACGCTCTCGTAAGGCTGCGCCCCACTGTTTCCACGTGCGAATTGTGGCCACACCGAATATTGATGATGCCCTCCCAATAGCAGAGTCCGAAGTCCCGTCTGCCGCATGTGTCACACCTGTCGGGGTCCCCGTGTCCAAGGTTCGTCGCCACCACTCAAGCGCCGGGCCTCGCAGAAGCGATACCGCGTAATTAATACGCGTGGCGTCGTCGTTGACATTCGCTGCAGTGAAGAACACCTCCACTCCGAACAACCACCCCTTAACTGTAGTATTCTTGTCTGTAGGGTTGAACGGGGGCGGGCTCGTAGGCTTTATCTTGATTGTTGTCACTGCAACTGTTGTCGCTGCCGCCGCTCGCTGCCTATCTTCTTCTTCGAAGCCGCGTGTGAGCTCCTCCAACGGATTGCCGCTCACCGCTTGACCAGTGCTCTCGCCTTCTTCAGCGGGCGACTCCTGGCGCGCTTCACCTCGCGCCTGGCGTAGCTCGTTGTTTTCTTCATGTAATCTCTCCACTTATGTCGTTAACGCCTTCATTTCTGCCACTTGCTGCATAAGTTTGTTGAACGCCTCCTGGTCCATGAGTCGCAAGCTACGTCTAACAGGCAACTGGGTACCCGTGATTATCCGGCAACAGTGCAAGCGCAAAAGCTATCGGAGTCGGGCAAGTTTAATTTAATAAACTTTGCAACCAACCGCTTTGCAGCCCACCGTACCAATCACACCCGTGCCACTAAACTACCCTGGAAAAGCGGGGTGAACTAGGAAAGTAGCTCTGATACCAGGTGTTATGAGTTGTCAAACAGAGTTGCGCGGAATAACGAATAACGAGGCTGTGATTCAATGAAACTGACGATACAATGAAAGGCATGCGATTATATAGCGAGGCAACCTAGCTAGGCGGGAACCTCGGGAACACGAGGTTGAGTGCAGGTTGGGCAAAGGAAAGCCGAAGGCGACGCGAGGTTGCTTCGGCAGCAAGCAAAGCGGCCGAACGTGCACTTCCGAAAGTTGGGGTTGTACGCGGTTGAGTAAACCCCAGTAAGGAAAAAAGGGTTTTCCATACAGTCCAGCTCTTTATTATTAATTTAACCGAGACAAAGAACCACACAACCATTCTTTTAAAACCAGAGAAGTCATTACCAAGATATTTTTGTGGGTGTTTTTTTTTGCTGTCCAGTTCATAGGTTTCCATTGGCCCTGTTCGGCAGCACTTCGGGAGCACTAAAAACTTGTCATTGGGGTTATTGGGGTTTTCTTGGGGTGCTATTGGGGTTTTCTTGGGGTTGTGTGTGCTACTTTTTCTTCCTTCTTCCCTGTTTTTCTTCCTCCTATCATTTTTCCCCTATTCCCCTCCTCCTTTCTTCCTCTCTCCTTTTTTCTACTCACGTTATTCCTCCTTTTCTCCTCTCTTCCCGTTTCCACTCCTTTTCCTTGCGTAATTATGCTACATTGTAACAGATAGTACCTAGATTGCTATTCAAAAAAAAAAAAAAAAAAAAAAAAAAACTTGTCATCTTGGCCGTTGGGAGCTTGAAAAGTGTTCATGTTGGCCGTTGAGGGACAACATTGGGTGGTTCGGCACCACCAAAATCGCCTGCGACCTTCATGCGACAAGACTTCATTCCGAGCTACCCAAACCACAAAACTCCGAACCTCTCGCCCCACCCCAAGCCACACGTGGGTAATGAAGTCAGGCATGGACCAATCAGAGAAAAGGAATGCCAGAAAATGGCTGCTCATCTTTTCAACGTAAGCAGCCATCTTCCGCCTAATTGAAATCAGACATGGACCAATCAGAGAGGAGGACTGCCAGAAGATAGCGGGCCATTTTCAGGTGCGATCTACATTTGCGTGAAAATGTACTCATGTGTAATCCATGTTACTGTGCAGGTACGAACACCGAACTCGATTTTAGGTCTTGCTCCTGGTAATGTCTTTTCCATCCGATATCCCATTCGAAATAACACAAACAGTCACAATCAAACGTGATTTCGGATCACGTCAAGCAACATCTAAATTGTCTTCTCATATTTGCCCAGTTTTGTGATAGGCTGAGCATTCGGCATGAGCAAAGAGCCGAGCCGCAGTTCGGTTCGGCGCGGTTCGGTTCGCTACGAACTGAACCTCAGCCTGATTTTGTTCAAGAGGTTCGCCACGGGCCGAACCGGTTTGTCTTCGAACCGGTTCGGCGGTTCGACTGGTTCAGTTTTTAGCCCTCAACTAGGGGCACAGAGGGGCGGTGAGGGGTTACGAAAGGTTAAGAAGGGCTAATATGGCCCATTCGGTTCGGTTCGGTTCGGTAATTCCTTCTATATTACCGAACCTCGAACCAGCTTGCGACCAGTACGGTTCGGAATGAACCGGTTCGGTTCGAGCACGAACCGGTTCGGTGACTCCGCTATAGTGGCCGAACCGGTTCGGTTAGGTACCCTGCTCATGCCTACTGAGCATCGACTGTACAATTTTGCAGCCGAACAGGGCCATTGTTTGGTCATAGGTTCGGACATACATTGTCGCTCCCGTCACGTGTCACAGTCAAGTTCCAACAGACCATGAAGTTCGTGGCGGAAGCTGGAGTCGCAATCCCGCATCTTTGCTCAATCAAGTTGTGCTATTTTATACTGTAATAAAGATTCCTTTGCTAAACATCAACGCCAGCATTGCTGGCAGGGGCTTATTGATGCGGCCCACAGAAGTTCCAGTTTTACAGCGCGGCGTGAGAATTTCTGTGCCGTCGGTGCTCAGGAACGGAAACATCGAGGCGAGTCGCCTCTCGACACAAGCCGAAAAGTTTCATAGCTTCAAGCTTTTCCCCAAACCGCTCCCCCAGTCGCGGCCCACGGACCAATCAACTAGCGGCGCAAACCCCACTTCGAGGCCACGTCCCTCGTCACTCCCAAGCCCAGGCTTGTCCCGTACCAGCAGCCCCTTCGCCACACCATTTCCCGAACCGCCGCGCTTGCCCGAGCACCCACGGCTTGGGACTGAATGTTCCGCGCTGCAGGGCACCGCACGCTACGGTTCCGTGCTGTGTTTCTGACAGGAGAGCCCAGCCTCAGGTTCCCCCAGACTCCAGAATGATCTCCCGCCACTCCGTTCTTTCCGTTGCTCCTCTCCCACACACTGGGCGTGGGCGTGCAGTGCAGTGCAGTGCAGAGCAGAACCGTTGTCTCTCCACTCCACGCGCCGTTTCTAGCTCTCACTGATTCTCCCTGGCACTGGGAGCTGTGAGCTGGGCCGCTGCCTGACGATCTTTGAGACGCCATGACCCAAGTAGCAGCAGCAGCTTGCATTGCTTCGAACGACGAGCTTTGCTCTACAGCACCTGAAATGGCCGATTACCTTTCTTGCCTCTACGGCCGTGGTAGCAACAGCAATACGACCTCGCTGGTTTGGCCGATTGAACAAGAATTTGCTTTGTCATCGCCATCAACCCCGCCATCGTCGCCGTCACGTGCGTGCGAGCTTGCGACTAGCCGTGCGTGCTGCCCGCTGGAGCCTCCAATCAGCTTCGAGATGCGGAGTGGAGGTGGTATGGTGGGGCATACTAACGGGCAGCAGCAGCAACAGCAGCAGAAGCAGAAATCATGTGAAAACAAATCTGCCACTCGTTTTGGCGAATTGTCGTCGTGCGACGGCTCAAACCGGAAAACGTCGTCGTCGTCGTCGTCGCCGTCGTCATCGCCGTCGTTCGCGCTAGACTCAGCCTTGCACGCCTCCCCATGCGCGACCGCCGCTCTCGACCTTCTCTCGCTGCCTCCCGCCGAGGCAGCTTCGTTGCTGCAGCAACTCCTGGTCGAAGCGGGCGTCGCCAAGCGACCAGCGCCGCCCGGCGACAACGACGACAGTCGCACAGGCTTCGCCGCGTTCAGGCTTCGTTCGGGCGGCAAGAACCCCAAGCGGCCGCGGCCGCTGGTAGGACTGAAGAATCTAGGCAACACGTGCTTTATGAACGCGTGCGTGCAGTGTCTTAGCCACTCCATGCCACTCGCGCTTTACTTTGTGCAAGAGACCGCCGCCGCCGCTAAGGGGCTTCCATCCCCACGACCAGAACTGGCGGGGGTTGCGTCTGCGGCTAATCGCACTGGGTTCGCTGGAAATGGATCGCCGGACGCAATTGGCGGCGGCAGGTCAGGCGAACGGGTGGGAATTAGGGAGGAGTCGCTGCGGGAAGCTGGCGAGGCGGTGGCTGCGGCTTTGTGTCGGCAGCAGCAGCAGCAGCAGCAGAAGCAGCAGCAGCAGCAGCCCAAGCGTTCAGCTGACGAGTTCAGTCGCGCGAGGGACAGCTCGTGCCGGTCAGGAATTTCCGTCAGCGGGCCTTTGAGTTCGACGTGCTACCGTGGCTGCGGCGATTCTGACGAGGGTCGCGCGACTGTCAATTTCAGTGGACCGCTTCATACGACGCCTGCGACTCATGCGACGTTGTCGTCGTCGTTGCCGCTGGTGGAATGCCGCGGCGGCTGCAAGAAGCCCCACTTAGGACATGTTCGTAGCGACGGGTGCTTTAACCTGTCCTTCGGCTCCGCGTCCCCGAAAGTTCCGTGCCACGTCACGTCCTTAAAGAGCGGATTAGTCTTCGGAGGCTCGTCGATCGGAAGCCCGCTATCCGTCCCCGTGGGTTGCGGTCTCAACGGCGGCCATAGCCCCGCTGTCGGCCCCCCGCATCTCCCCCTGCCGCGTGATGCGGGCGCTGACGCGTGCGCGGACTCCCTGCGCGGGGCTCCCGCGGAGGTTGCGCGCGCAGCATGCGCGGAAGGCGCGCGCGAGTGCGGAAGCGGAGGCGGAAGCGGCGGGGAGGAGGTGAAGGAGGTGTCGCGGAGTTTCGGGCGGCTGGTGACGGAGCTGTGGGCGGGGGAGGCGGCGGGCGCAATCAGCCCCGCGGAGCTGCTTTCGAGCGTGCACAAGCACGTGCCGCACTTCGCGGGGTTCGGGCAGCACGACTCGCAGGAGTTTCTGCGATCGCTGGTGGATAAACTGGACGAGGAGACGAGGGGGCAGAGTGAGGTGAGTCACTTTAGCGAGGTTGGGGAGAGATAAAGGGAGATGGAAAAGGTAAGTGAGAAGGAGATGGAGAGGGAGGGAGAGCGATGGGGGAGAGGAGGCAGAAACGTGGTGGGGAGCGTCAGGCTTTAAGGAGAGTTTGTGCGTGGTTGTGTTACGAGTTGATTGCACGAGACTAGAGGGTTAATAGCGTCGCAAAGTCTTAAGGGTTAATGGTGCTGAAGTGTTAAGAGCGTATGCTTTTCGTGTTGATAGTGCTGAGGGCCTTGAGAATGATTAGCACGAAGGCCTAATCCATGCTGCATTGCTCTACTGGTCTCCATTGCGTTTTCATCCTTTCTACCTTCAACCAAGGCGTTCCTAATCCTAACCCACCACTCCCTCTCATTCCTTCAACAATCCTCCTCCCTCTCCGCACAGCTGCCAAAATGCCACAGCCTGCCCGAAAATCTCGACCAGCTGCCCGAAGCGGAGCAAGCTGAAGCTCTCTGGCGGCAGCACTGCGTGCGATTCGCCAGCCCCATCCAGCAAATATTTTGCGGGCAGCTGCAGAGCACGATCGAGTGTCTGACGTGTCACCACCGCTCGCACTGCTTCGACCCATTTCTGGACCTATCTGTGCCCATCCCCCGCCGCCGGTTCTTCTCCTTCCGCGCGCCCTCCATCCGCGACTGCCTGGGGGAACTCCTGGCGGAAGAAATGCTCCAGGGGGACAATGCGGTAAGCACCTCTAGCCTTACCAACTCCCCCACATTTCCGACTTTTGTTTGAGGCGTCTCAAAACGCGCCCTCCATCCGCGACTGGCCGGGGGAACCCCTGGCGGAAGAAACGCTGCAGGGGGGCAATGCGGTGAGCATTTCTCTCCTTCCCAACCCCCACGCCTCCTCTCTCCCCCCCCACCCCACCCTTTCCCCCATTCATCCCCATCCACTCCCCTCACCACCCGTCCCCTCCCTCACACACACCTCCCCTCACCACCCTCCACCCCCACCTCTCCAACCCGCCTCACCACTTGCTTGGTTTTCTGCCATCGGCAACAGACCAGGTTTTCATGTTGCTGCAGGCCTCCAAGATCATTTCTTGCATCTCATCAGGTTGTTTTCTGCATTCCATCAGGTTCCGCCCCTGAATTGTGACTCACCTACCTGCATTTCTCAACCTAATCAACCTACCCCTTGTTGCCCTCCCCAATTCTCTTGTGGTCTTGCTGTGTCCCCATGTCTCTTGCGATCTTGCCCTTGCTTGCTTGCTTGCTTGCTTGATTGCTTGCTTGCTTGCCTGATACAGTACTCGTGCTCGCACTGCAAGAAGCCGAGCAAGGCTGTGAGAAGACTGTCCATCGTGCGCTTCCCCTCCATCCTCGTTATACACATCAAGGTAGGTCCTAGTTAACACACGGACATTGTTATGTGTAGAACATACACACCTGTTAAACATGTCGTTTACACCTCATATTTTCCCTTTTTCTACGTCCTATGACATATTTTCTGGATGTTCTTCATCTTGTGCTCTCTTATCCCCTGTGTCCTTGTCCATGATCCCCTTGTTCTGCTCACTGTGTCGCATGTGCAACAGCGAGTGGCCTCATCAGCCATCTCCCTCTTTCAGAAGGATTCTACCTTTGTCTCCTGCGACCTGCACAGCCTTGACCTCTCAAAGTTCCAAAGGTGCGCTGGCGCTCTCTATGCTCGAGTCGTTATTATGCCTGATTGAGCTTTGGATGCTATCTGTCCACTCTTGTATCTGCTGTGCGGGTTCTTTTCTGTGCTGGTTCTTCCCTGTGCTTGGCTCAGTGTTTCACCCTCTGCCTCTCCTCTCCCGCTTGCCACTCCCCCACTCCCATCATCCCAACAGCTCACTCTCTCGAGAAAACGCCTCCAGAGAGCCTGTCACTCCCCCCAGCCCCGAGAGCCGAAGAAGCAGCAGCAGCAGCAGCGGCAGCAGCAGCGGCAGCAGCAGCAGTGGGACAGCCCCAGTGTACGATCTATACGCTGTGACGAACCACATGGGGTCACTCTCATCAGGTCACTACACAGCGCACTGCCGCAACCCTGCGGACGGGCAGTGGTATCTGTTCAATGACAGCGGCGTGTCGCCCATTGCTGCTTCTGCCGTAATCTCGTCCTCGGCTTATGTTCTCTTCTACCAGCTGAGACACAATCCTGAGGGTTTCTGACTGTTGCAACTCTGACGTGTTCTGACGGGCAGTGGTGTCTGTTTAGTGTCAGCGGTGTGCCAGCCATTGCTGCCCTGAGGGGTTCTGACTGCTGAGGTGACGGGAGAGCGCTTCAGTAACTACTGTATTTGAACTGTGGTTACATCACATGTGGAAGTCAGGATACTTCATAGGGTGAAGGAATTGAGTGTGGTACCGTTCTAGTGACTAGTGTAGGTGCAATAAGTAAAGCTAGCTCAATCTATGGAGGTGAATTAGTCTCAGCTTTTGTTTGGCAGTTTGACTTTAGGCTTTATGCCCCATGTTGGGTAGCTCATGATACTGATTTGCTCTACATTAGTGAAATAATTATTGTTGTAACTCCTAGATTGAGGTTTTATGTGTGGCATATTATATAATTCATAAAGCTGCAGCCCACAATATTCTTTTCTAGCATACGGTAGTACGGTACATGATGGCTTTCTAAACAGCAAGAAAAGGAAATACAGTACCACACCACACCCCCCCTACCCCACCCCTTCACCCCCCTAAATAAAAACAAAAGCCAAAACCAGAAGATACCAGCACAAGCATAGCCCAACTAAGCCATCACTGATCAATCTCTTACTACTATCCCATCTAAGGTCAACACCACACCACCCCACACCATTTGATCTGAGAATGAAAAGCTGCGCAGATCAGTCACTTCTCCCACGCCACCATGGTTGTGAATTTGGTTGCTACAATAATGTCCGCCCAAGAGGCTGATATTGCTTGCCAAAGCGACTGAGACGAGGAAGATGCAATGGCGTCGCTGGTGGTTGCAGTGGTGCCGCTGATGGGTGCTTATCCGTAAAAGGCAGACACGCAAAGCTGCAATGCGGATGCACCATTTGTAAAAGGAAACGAGAAGAGGAAGAAAAGCAGAGTAAAGGACGGGAAGCATAAGAAGCTACAGACAAGGCACGTTGCAGGCATTTGAGAAAGCTTTATTGCATTTCCTAGCAGTGGTAGCTGTGAAAGTACAAAACCGTCTGGGTTTAAACACAGGTGGCAGCTGGTAACTGGCTCGGTGGGCTTGTGCTGAGCTCACCTCATCAGTGTTGCGGGGGGAATCGCGGAACGACAACCAGGGGTTGAGCCTGCAGAGGTCACCATGGACACTCCATTCTCGGCTGCAAACAGCTGGTAGTCTATAACCGCGGGGATGGGCACTTTGGTGGAGCAAGCAACCTTGGCCTTGGATGGATCTCGCTCCACGCAGAGGGAACGGAACGCAGGCAGGCGTGAGGAGCAGGTGACGCCGGGGTTGAGACCACGCAGGTATTGCTCGGAGATGACTAGAAACAGAGCGACCGAGGAGCATGTGTCGTTCTGTGGAAGGGGAAGGGAACACATTGGGAGAAAGAAGAGAGGGGGGTTTGAGACGGAAGGTAGTGGTGGTCATGTGCGGGGCGGGAATGGAGGATGTGGTAGTGGTCATTAAAACCAGTATTGAAACCAGTATTGAAACCATCATTGACACCATCCAGCTTCCCCACAATCCAAATCAAAGATGCCACAAGCGATGCACTATGGAAGGCATTATTGAAACCATCACTGAAACCATCTCTGAAACAATCATTGAAGGCATTATTGAACTCACAGGCTGGATGTGGTAGAAGGCAGAGCAGGGAGTGAGCAGCTCGCGAACAGAGAGCATCTGACCCTGGGGAAGAAGAGCAGAGCAGTCAACGCCCTGGATGGGGGTAGAGAGGGCGGGCGGGGGGGGGGGAGGAGGGGGAGAGGAAGAACTTTTGAGTCGATTCAAAAGTTAGCTCACGCACAGTTGGCTGCTGACCCTGGGGAAGAAGAGCAGAGCAGTCAACGCCCTGAATGGGGGTAGAGAGGGAAACGGAGTGGGAGGGAGAGGATGAGGGCGGGAGGGAGAGGAAGAGGGCGGAAGGGAGGGAGAGAGGGAGAGAAACAGATGGCTCAACATGACATGTTAAAAAACCTTTTGTGGCAATAAAGTTACATGGGGTACTGAAGTTACACACCACAGGAGGGACTCACCGGACCTCCACAACACGGGACTCACCGGATTCATGGATGAGAACTGCTGCAGCGTGAGGCCATACATGGTGTACACATCCCTGCACCTCCAGTCGCTGCCGTACACCGTTATGAAAGGAGCAGCTGCCGTGTCCTCACCTGCGCGCATTGAATGAATGCCAATGGTGAATAGAACACTCAAACTCAAAACCGTTGTTGTCAGCTACATTTGTTATGCCCAACTACCATGTTGACGATGGTGGGGGAAGCAACCACTGCCTTTTGAGTTGACTCAAAAGTCATCAACCGCCGGCTTGCACCGTTAGGAAACGCACGCACACGAGTAGAACAGAAACATCCAGAGAGTTGCTGCCACGTATTGAATCCATGGCACCTACTTGGTGCTCTATTGGACTGCACACGAGTTGAACAGAAACATCCAGAGAACTGTCTACTATGCAGAGAACACATTTCGAGTAAGGCATGCAGTAGTTGCAAGCAAAGAGCGAGGAGAAAAGGTAAGCTTACGGCAATCCTTGCCGAAACCATAGTATCTGGGCGGGCAGACACAGGTGTGACCCGAGGAACGGCCGCTGTCGATGCAAGTGCCCGCCAGACATATATTGAATCGGTCGCTGCCACAGTCACCGTCTGGCAGGCAGGGGTCAAATCAAACACAGGAAGCAGGCAGCAGTTAGCAAGCACCCTCAAGTATTAAGGCGCCTCAAAAACAGGAGCGGCCGCTGTCGATGCACGTGCCCGCCAGACACATCTTGAATCAGTCGCTGCCACAGTCACCGTCTGGCAGGCAGGAGCCAAAACCAAACACAGGAAGCAAGCAGCAGTTAGCAGGCAGTTCTCACTCAAGTGGTGAGTGCCTAGGTCGCAAGGGGGAGCTTTCGGGAACAGGAAAGGGCTGAGGAGAAGGGACGCAAGGCAGTTGCCAGAATCAAGGAGAGACAAGAAGAGACTGAAATTGATCGAGCAATAAGCTCTAGCGTAGGCATTTACCCACAGGAAAGCCTTGGCACGGAGCCCGGAGAGGGAGAGGTGACTTTTGAGTCGACTCAAAAGCCTTGGCACGGAGCCCGGAGAGGGAGAGGGAGCGGGAGAGAGTGAGGGAGAATCGGAAGGAGAAGAGAGGAAGAGGGAGGGAGGGAGGGAGGGGCAGGGCAGAGCACACAGGAGAGAGAGGGAGAGGAAGAGGGATAAGAGAGAGGAGGGGGAAAGGGATAGAGGACCCGTAGCGTGCATAGAAAAGAGGGGGGAAAAAAGCTGCGCTGGGGCTTACAGTAGGAGCTCTCTGAGTCCAAAAACTAAGCAGGTGAAGTGGTGCTGCTGGTGGGTGCTGCGGTGCTGATGGGTTCTGTGGTGTTGCTAGTAGTAGCTGTAGTGCTGCTGCTGGTTGCTGTGGTGTTGCTGCTGGTTGCTGCGGTGCCGCTGGTGGTTGCTGTGGTGCTACTGGCAGTGGTGTTGTTGTTGGGTGCTGCGGTGCTGCTGGCTGTGGTGTTGCTGATGGGTGCTGTGGTGTTGCTGATGGGTGCTGTGGTGTTGCTGATGGGTGCTGTGGTGTTGCTGATGGGTGCTGTGTTGTTGCTGCTGGTTGCTGCGGTGCCGCTGGTGGTTGCTGCGGTGCTGCTGGCTGTGTTGTTGCTGCTGGGTGCTGTGTTGTTGCTGATGGGTGCTGTGGTGTTGCTGATGGGTGCTGTGGTGTTGCTGCTGGTTGCTGCGGTGCCGCTGGTGGTTGCTGCGGTGCTGCTGGCTGTGTTGTTGCTGCTGGGTGCTGTGTTGTTGCTGATGGGTGCTGTGGTGTTGCTGATGGGTGCTGTGGTGTTGCTGCTGGTTGCTGCGGTGCCGCTGGTGCTTGCTGCGGTGCCGCTGGTGCTTGCTGCGGTGCCGCTGGTGCTTCCTGCAGTGCCGCTGGTGGGTGTCGTGGGATTGTTGGAGACAGTGTTGGGGGTGCTGCTGGCAGGTGCGGTGGTGTCGGCGGCAGCAACGGCACAGCCGGCTGACAGCACTGCCCTGTCAAGGGGGGTGGATCTGCGCAGGGGGAGGGCGACAAGAGAGCAAGTTGTGACACGTCTCAAAACTCATGGGGGTCGGACCTGCAAACGGGAAGGGCGACAAGAGTGCAAGGCCGTTGGCCAGTGATTAGGGATGAAGGAGTGCCGTGGGGAGCATGGGAGCATTGAGAGGGAGAGCGGAGAGCGGAGAGCGGAGAGCGGAGAGCGGAGAGCGGAGAGCGGAGAGCGGAGAGCGGAGAGCGGGAGAGGGCATGAAACACTCACTGCTGCTTGTCCTGCATAATGCTGCTCGCCACATCTCCCGCGCAGTTCCACCTCTTGTAGAACCGGATCTCCTTGCAAGTGCCGGCCTTGCCGTCCTGCCTCCACGTCACCTGCACGATCCGCGTCCCGCCGCCCGGAATGTCGGCACAGCGGCGCAGCGGGTTGAAGGTGAAGGAGCGCGCGCCGATCAGCAGCTTTGTGCTGACCACCAAGGCCGGCGTGCTCGCTGCCTGCGACGGCTGCGGCAGGGGCGTCACTGCCAGTGTGAGAATGGGAACACGTGGGACGGGATCAGGTGGGAGGTGAGGGCAGGTGGGAGGGGAGGGCGCGCACGGAGGGAGGCGTGTGTGTGATTTGGCGGACCATGGTGGTGTAAGTTCAGCGTGGGGCTTCGTCGCGTGATGCTGCGGCACGGTGCGGCGGTGGGAGCATGATACGAGGGAATGACGCGCCGGGCAGCGCTGAGCGGCGCATGATACATACCAGCGAGGGCGGCCGCGACGATGGTTAGAAGAGCAGCGACGGCCTTGCGAGTCCCCATTCTGCGTCAACCGCGGCGTCTCTGGAAGACCGTCACCGTCACCGTGGGCTCGCGAGAGATGCGGGCGGATTACTGCGCCGGAAGCAGCCTAAAGATCTGAGAGTTGGCGATGCGCTCGCTTGAGGAGGGAGAAGGGGTGGTAGATTCTAGACAGGCACGGCACGAGCGCTGATGGTCACTGGTATCAACAGACGAGGCAATGAAGGCGTGAATGACGCACGGATGTTTATACGGATGAAGGCGAGATAGGCGGCATCGCCGCACGCCCCTGCGGCTCAGTGCGCTCGCCATGCTCAGTGCGCTCGCCATGCTCAGTGCGCTCGCCATGCTATGTGCGCTCGCCATGCTCTGCGCTCGCCATGCTCAGTGCGCTCGCCATGCTATGTGCGCTCGCCATGCTCTGCGCTCGCCATGCTCAGTGCGCTCGCCATGCTATGTGCGCTCGCCATGCTCTGCGCTCGCCATGCTATGTGCGCTCGCCATGCTCTGCGCTCGCCATGCTATGTGCGCTCGCCATGCTCTGCGCTCGCCATGCTATGTGCGCTCGCCATGCTCTGCGCTCGCCATGCTGAGTGCGCTCGCCATATCCTCAGTGCGCTCGTGGCATCGTCTCTCACTGGCGACATCGCGCATCCGCCTGGCTTTGCGGCGACGCAGCGGGAAGATCTGCGCCGAGGGACGCGCACGATGCCCATGACGAGCGCGGGGACTTTTGGGCCGCGAGCGACGGCTGCGGAAGTATTGTATGGAGCGCGTTTCTGGGAAGCGCGATAGGCGGATGGCTCTTGCTTCTTGAGAGGTTGGTGATTGGTCGAATTCGTGTGGTAATAATTTAAGTTTGACTGGTTAAATTGAAACGCGTTGCAGGGCAACTCCCCATTTACATTCAACTAACAACTCCTTTCTTTCGACATTACCAGGGGTCAACGGTCGGCAAATTATGAACAAGAGCGGTCGACGTAGAACCGTGGAGGTGAAGAGTACCGAATGGAAAATCTCAGCGGAAACGGGTCGTCAAGCCTGACGACCCTCCGACGACCTGTCGACATGCTGCCCCGGGCAGAAAAAAACTAAACCCCCATCGGATGGCATGCCATCCGAGGGAGCCTCAACCCTAAAATCCATGCCTCCCCGTGTTTAGGGTTGAGGCTCCCTGACCGGATGCATGCCCGAATGGGGTTTATTTTTTTTAGCCCGCGGGCAGCGAGCTCCCCTGGGCGGGCTCGCTTGTCCGCTGAGATATACTGGTATATCTCAGCGGACAAGCGAGTCCGCCCGGGGGAGCTCGCTGCCCGCGGGCTAAAAAAAATAAACCCCATTCGGGCATGCATCCGGTCAGGGAGCCTCAACCCTAAACACGGGGAGGCATGGATTTTAGGGTTGAGGCTCCCTCGGATGGCATGCCATCCGATGGGGGTTTAGTTTTTTTCTGCCCGGGGCAGCATGTCGTCAAGTCGTCGGAGGGTCGTCAGGCTTGACGACCCCTTTCGGCTGAGATTTTCCGCTTTTTGCTAGAAACCTGTACACCTAGTCCGCGCCAATTTCACACCCCCTCAGTTTGATCTTAAAGCCCCTGTTGACCTTATCTGACTAGAGGTATGAGACACCCCGAAACTGGAGGCTATTCGTGGCATTGTGGAGTGTCGATGTTGTAGAATTCTTACACTGTGACTGCAGCGCAAATACGTGATCTTCCGCTGCAACCATGTTTTAGGTTTTCTGTTTAGCTGCGATCCAATCGGATCCTCTTTAAAGCCAAACTGATCGAAACAACCCCTAATTTAGGGTAAATCAGGAACGAATACACAGGGGTGTGAAAAAGGGGGGTGTGAAAATAGCGCGGACCATGTGTAGCAAAGGACACGCCCCTTCACACGAGGCTCTAGTCGGAAAAATTGCGCGACGCGACAAACTCCGAACGTCTCTCAAACCCATCGACCAAGCTCGCACCACAGATAGGGCGATCCGAACCTCGGCCAAATGGGTCGACCTACATGCGCTTTTGCGATAAAGTCAGACAATTCTGATGCGGCTTACGGCTAAAATTTTAGGGTTGAGGCTCCCGAATGGCATGCCATCCGGAAGGGGTTTATTTTTCCTTGCCCACGCAATATATATTCCAGTTAACAAGTGGCACGTACGCCAAACATTATCGCGGTTCCGAAACGATGACATTGAGAGGGACCACCGACTCTTACGCATCAGGATTGTCTGTCTTTCTCGCAAAAGCGCATGTAGGTCGATCCATTTGGCCGAGGTTCGGATCGCCCTACCTGCGGTGCGAGCTTGGTCGATGGGATTGAGAGAAGTTTGAGGTCTGTCGCGTCGCGCAATTTTTCCTAGGTCGAATTTCATAAGATGAGAACACCTATCACCGCAGGGCGCGCCGAGCAGGTCCGCCAACCCAGCGGGGCTGAGTGACGCGCACGATGCCCATGACCAGCGCGGGGGGCGTGGAGACGGCCTCGGCTGCGGTAACTGCAATCCCCCTTGCTTCCAAGGCGGGTGGTACACTGTGATTGGTCGAATTTGAGTGGTATGATTCAAGCTTGACTGCTTTCCCGTGTCGCTCTCCCAACATATGGGAATTCACGCCGACATTTTTGACGATTGTGTTTTTGAATGTCGCATGGTTTTACGTGGGTGTAGCAAATAATCTCTCGAACTTTTCTGGCATCCCTCCATTGGATGCGACTGTTGTTTGGCAAGTAAAATTGGCGCGAAAAACCCTCGCGCCAATTTGGGGGTCGCATAAGTTCCGGGAACCCAAAGTGGTGTTTTGTGTTGTTCCGGGCATCCGCAATTCGCGCATGCTCGGAACAGTGCTCAAGGCTCGAACCTGGATACGCCCTAAGATCGCTAACAACATCGACTTGCAGCAATTCAAACTGAATTAGGGTGCATTCCGCTGTGGACACTGTCTCTAAGACAGTGTCCCAATCGAGTGTACCGCTCCGAACCGAACTAAATGAGAGACGCGAAAATTTCGACAATGTTTCAAAATAGGGTGTAATTCGGTGTAATACGATGTAGTGCGGTAGATTCGATTCAGATACTTTAGATTGGGACAATGTCTAGCGCGGAATGTACCCTTAGGCAATATCGAACCCAGAGGTACCGTATCGCCCCGGATAGTAGCGCCGCCTGATTAAAGGCACCGACGCTTCTATCTGGAGCCATGCGCTTATGGCCGGTCCTCAATTATAAGCGCACCCCCTATAAACTCAATACTTTTTATAAGCGCATCCCTCCCCCCTAGGGGGTAATCATTTCACTATTTGTTAATCTAAACATTTTCTCCTAACAAGAAATCTACACATGGATCTAAACCTTTCTTCTCAATCAGCATGATGTTCTACCAGCACATTCCTAGCTAGAATCTACTCGTCGTCTGACTCAGGCTCCTCGCAGTTGTTGCCAAAGAAGCCGTTGGCGATGATCTCGTCATCGACGTCGACCTCGTGGGTCAGCTGGCTCCGCCTGTGCGCCATGGCAAGGTTGTCCTCACTGCCGTCAAGCGCGTTGCTGATGCCACAGGTGAGGAACGCCTTCTTGATGAGCTCCGCTGGCACGGCCTTCCAGGCTCGTGAGATCCACCTGAGCACCACTGCTGGTGGGGGCTTCTTGATGTTCCCTGCACCACAAGTACGGTAACAGCATGGGAGTTAGTACAACAAAAGGGGGTTATTCACGTTGCTCTCAAACACTCAGTGGTGGAAGTCTTACCCGCAGGCGTCAGCCGCTCCTGGCCTTCCTCTTCAAACCAGCTCTGGTACTGCTGGCGGATGGAGGCTTTGAAGGATTTGTTGATTGAGACGTCGAGCGGCTGTACCTCCGCCGTACAGCCCGACGGGATCACCGCGGGCACGATGCCAAGCTCGGTGAACTTCTCCCTCACGGAGTCCGTGAGATGCCCGCGGTAAGAGTCCAGAACCACCATGGCGCTCCTCGCCTGCCTGCCGAACCGGGGCCTGATGAAGGGCTTGATGCACTTGTCGAGCCAGCGCAGGACGCCTTCGGCGTCCATCCATCCGTTCAGATGACACGCCACGACCACATCTGGCATAACACAGTAAACAAACAAGTGTAAATAACAACAAGCGACACGGTAAACTAATCAGTGGACAAGAGGGGTATAACCTTACCTGGCGGGAAATCCCCCTTCGGCACCGTCTTGCGCTTGAAGAAGACCCACGGCTTGAGTTTCTCGCCGTCGGCCGTGCACGCCAGCATCACGGTCACGCGTTCCTTCTGGTACCCCCCGCTCCTGATCGGCACCGATCGAACGCCCGTCTCTTCCACAGTACTGGTGACGGGCATCT